TTACAGCACTGAACATCTTACTAGCATCTCCCCTCCTCTACAGGAAATCAGCAGCACTGTTAAAACCACACAAACAAATCAAAAACTCTGAGGATTTTTTATCAGCAATTAACTGGTTGTGGCAACAGCTGAACAGCTGATGAGACATGAGGACTCATTAGGCACAGAGAATAACTTTTGAACATACATAGTTCAACTGACTTTCTGTACTGTCCATCGCAAAGATCTAGTCTATAGAGAGCTTGGTTGACTTTTTTCTGTCCAACATGATCCAGCTGGACCCACTGTGTAGACCCACATCCATACCCATAATTCTCAGCTTATTGTAGTGGGACACACACCCCAGAGCATTTTTGCTGTTGTTTAGTCATTGTCCAACTCTTTGTGACTTCATGGACCAGAGCACGCCAGGCCCTCCTATCTTCCACTACCTCCCGGAATTGGGCCAAATTCATGTTGGTAGCTTTGATGACACTGTCCAGCCGTCTCGTTCTCTGTCATTCCTTTCACACTTTCCCAACATCAGGGTCTTTTCCAGGGAGTCTTCTCTAATGAGATGACCCAAGTATTGGAGCCTCAGCTTCAGGATCTGTCCTTCCAGTGAGCACTCAATGTTGATTTCCTTCAGAATGGATAGGTTTGATCTCCTTGCAGTCCAAGGGGACTCTCAAGAGCCTCCTCCAGCACCACAATTCAAAAGCATCTTCGGCGGTCATCCCTCTTTTCTGTACTGTCCATCTTAAAAGTCCAATCTATAGAAAGCTTGGTTGACTTTTTAGCATATTTTAGTACATCATAAAAGACTGTACTGTCGATCTTAAAGGTCCAGTCTATAGAAAGCTTGGTTGACCTTTTAGCATATTTTAGTACATCATAAAAGATGTGGGGAGACAGCTTATGCAAAGATAGGAAGAGAAGAAATCTGGGACTATTTTTTTTCATACTCCTCCTTTAGGTCGTAAGGGGCCCTTTTTGTAAGTAGCACAGGCTTTCTACTAACAGAGGTACCTATATAGATCCAAGCTGGTAATGTCAGAATAAAAACATAGAGACTTATTAGTTAACACCTGCTGCCATTGTAACACAATCAGCACATCATTGATGAATTACTGCAAATTAAGACTTTGGCATAGGCATGTGCCAGTTGGCTTGCAGGAGCAAATGCCTGCACTGACTTCCTAACTTGCTGTAAATAGTTGTTGAAATTTGTTCCAATTGCATTAAACAGACATAAAAACGCAGTAGGATTTTGGCCATGATGTTGACACTAAGAATATTCAAGGTGGAGAAAGGATCATTTAGGTTATGAAACACCAATCAGAATAGCCAGATGCAAAATCATCATCAAAGCCTGTGGAGAGCACATGTAATGAAGGGAAAACACACCCACCCAGTCCCCTATAACTATGCAGTAGAACCACAAAGATCCACAGAGGAGAATAGCGTTCCCCAGACAGACACTCCTTTCTCATTAACTGTCATATTCCTAAAGGATTCAGCAGGTGAAAGTCCAATAAGCCAGTCCAAGGTCAGAAGTCTGGGAGATACAGAACAATGTATTCGCGAAGGCTTTCACGGCCGGGATCTAATGGTGGTTGTGGGTTTTGGCTCTTTGGCCGTGTTCTGAAGGTTGTTCTTCCTAACGTTTCACCAGTCTCTGGCTGGCATCTCAGAGTGCTGTCCTCTGAAGATGCCGGCCACAGAGACTGGTGAAACGTTAGGAAGAACAACCTTCAGAACATGGCCAAAGAGCCCAAAAAACCCACAACAACCATTAGATACAAAACAGATGCCAAATTGTCAAAGCCAAAGCACAAACCATAGAAGTCAATGTCCAAAAGCCAAAGGTCAAGAGAGCAAGGTTCAAGATAAGCAGGAGCATGGACACAAGCCAGAAAATTGACTTGTTGCTTCCACAGGCTTCTAAGCCTCTGGGTACAGATTATATAGCAGCAACAGTCATCTAAACACTTCATCCTGCTAAAACTCAGGGCTTGTCGACCTGATGTTCCTGTGGGAAGCATCCATGTGAGCCTCAGACCTTTGTGTCATGAGTCTTTGCCGAAGCTTATCCCTCACTCTGGCTAGTGGGGGAAAAGAATCTGGTGGTGATTCATCTGTCTGTGATTCTGATTGCCCAGCATTTTCCTCAGCTGTAATTAACCCCTCAGATTCCAGATCTTCTTCTGCTGAACTCATGACATTAACTTTCAGTTAAGGTCTCAGTAACTCACTCTGAGACATTTGTAGGAGAAAGAATAAAAAAGTTTCATTACTTACAGTAATAAATAGATCAACAGCAAACAAACAACTGCCACCAACTCAGGAAAGAGAGGGAAAGAAATACCCAGCAGATCAAGAGGGGGTGGTGGCTGTCTTTGAATTCAAGGTCTCGAAGGAACAATTGGTTAGTGCTGGTTAGATTATCACCTGAGCCCAGAAAAGTCCCTTCCAGTAAAACAAACTGCAGGCAGCATGTGAGGTTATGGGGAAAAAAAAACTCCAACAAGAATAGGGATTATGTTTCCAGCAGTCCTGTAAACAGGATAGCAAGCTTGAGGTTTTACATCCCCTCCACACCTTCCAAAATCATTTGTCCTGCTGTCACTGCTGATACACCTTGCATTTATCTTGGTATTGTGAATAATGCTGGCTCATTCGTTGGCAGAAAGTTAATGACGAGTCTCCCTCTTTGCCACCCAGCATTCCTTCCATCAAATCGATTAACTGTTTCAACAGAGGTGTACCCAGAGTTGTCCTTAGGTCTCATCAGCTCTTCAGCTGATGCCACAGCCAGTTAATTACTGCTAAAAAGTTTGCAGAGCTTTGTTGTATGCTGTACACTCCACAGATTTCTGGTTCATGTAGCTTGCATTAGTTCTGCACTTATTTGGGAATACTGCGCCCAACTATTCACCCCATCATTCATATCTAATCTGAATTGGGTGTATATTCACTTTTCCAGATATTCCTTTCTTTTTTTAAAAAGAGAAAAGTGAAAAACACCGAGCTTTCGTCTGGCCGAATATTCACCTGAAATACAGTGGGGTCTTGACTTAAGAACGGCTCGAGTTAAGAACATTTTGACTTAAGAACCACTCTCATAGGAAAATATTGACTTGACTTACATACTTAGATTTGAGTTAAGAACTGAAAAAACCACGTGGGAGGCAGGGAAAGTGCAAAATGCGAACTTTCAGTTAACTGTTGGCCAGTGAAAAGGGTACCTGTCTGCTTCCTCACTCCTCCCAGCGTTTAGAGAGTGGATTGGGAGACAGTCTTCAGACTGCCTGGTACTGTAACTGCCTGAACTGTATTTTCCCTGCCTTCCATGAACCTTTCTTGACCTAAGAAAAAAAGAAACCAAATATCCCCCTCTAGTGGTCGAAGGCAGAATAGCAGCTTCCCATTAGTTTCTATGGACGGAAAAGAGCAAATACGGATCAAATGGTTTTCAATGCATTCCTATGGGAAATGCAGATTTGACCTGAGAACTTTTTGACTTGAGAACCACCTTCCAATACGGATTAAGTTCTCAAGTCAAGACCCCACTGTACCTGGGTTGCGATGTGTCCTGTCAGCATGGGGGGGGGGAGAACATGAAGAATGTCCTATTCAGAAAACTTTGAAGTGTTAATCATCAGCAACAGCTTAGGACTGCAGAGCTGAAAGGGACCCTATGGATCACTGAGTCCAGCCCCTGTCAAGGGGGCCCAGCGGGGAATCGAACTCCCAACATGTGGCTCTGCTCTCGAGCAGCACCCTTTTTATAAAGTGAATCGTTCTGTGTTAAAAACATGTGAGCGTTCTTCATGCATGATGGTACCGCATTTTTTCAAAGCTTTTCCCCCCTCAATCAAGGTGATCTATGGTGAAAAGAAAATGTTAGGTATGAAGTATCCTGCGTACAAATTCTGGTCACCTTCTCTGCACCTTCTAGCTTAAGCAGTTAAGGTCATACTAGACAGTACGTTTAGTTTTTCAGATAAGGTTCCCCCTAATGTCGTGAGAAGTATATTTCAGAGTGACCAGACAAGTATTTGTCTTGCTGTTTGCTGTTTCTCGGTGTTCTTTCAATATGTGCCCTAATGACTATATGACATTTGCGCTATTCACAAGTGGATTCAATTTTTGGGCATGAGTATATTTCGTTTGGCCATCAAGGCTTGCGACATCTACATGGGCATGTCATGAGAATAGCTTATGGTCAGATTCCAAAAGACCTCCTGTATGGAGAATTAGTGCAGGGAAAGCGCCCCAGAGGGAGACCACAGCTGTGATACAAGGATATCTGCAAGCGAGATCTGAAGGCCTTAGGAATAGACCTCAATAGATGGGAAACCTTGACATCTGAGCGTTCAGCCTGGAGGCAGGCGGTGCATCATGGCCTCTCCCATTTTGAAGAGACTCTTGTTCAGCAGGCTGAGGCAAAGAGGCAGCCCCGAAACCAGCCAAATCAGGGAGCTGGACAGGGGGCAGATTGTATTTGTCTTCAGTGTGGAAGGGATTGTCACTGTCGAATTGGCCTTCTGAGCCACACTAGACGCTGTTCCAAGTCCTCCATACAGAGCACGTTACCATAGTATCTCAAGACTGAAGGATTGTGATTTTTGAGGAGTGATGTTGGATTTTTTCCCTTAGCTTTTCCACTTGCTTTATCATGTCTTGCATTTGGCTTGTGCAGTCACCTATATCAGTCCTTTAGGCTTATAGTTGGACAAGTCTAGATGATGATGGCCAAAGTGGGGCTTGGTGTGTGAACCCTACTGTTTTGCTTGCACTGGTAAGGGCTAGAACTTCAATGAAATTTTCCTCCTAATTCAGCACTGTAGCTAATATAGTACACACCATTTGGCATTTCAGTGCTACTTTGACTGGTAAACTTTTTTACAAAAAGAAGGGATCTGAATGCCAGTGAGAGAGGGAGGTAAGAGGTAGGTGATAATGGCAGGGAAAGATGAGGGAGAATGGAGGTTGTGTGTTGTGTGAATACCGGAGACATGTCTTCCTGGGGTAATAGCAGCAGTTTAATTGCCAAGATGCTGTATGGAGAAGTTAATATCAACCTGGGACAAATTTCTTTGTGGTTACACCATTAGCTATAGCACAAGATTTTTCTCACCTATGCATCTTACATTTAGTGTGCCTTGTTTTGTGCCTGGTCACTGAAAGGCAAACACTAGCTTAATTTGCAAGTCTAATTGCTAAGGCAGATACTTCTGAGCAAATTCTATAGGGAAGGGGAATGGGTTGATTGTAGGAAATGCACATTCTCTTCATTGTCTTGGTTGATCTATTCAGATCTGCATTATGCAGATGGCCTGATTCAAATGAGGGAAGAGTGTGACTTAGCTCTTCCCTCCGCATTTTCCCTTTGCTATGCCAGAGAGCTGTGTTTGAAATGGAACAATACAGATTTCAGTCTGTGCTCCATGATGGGTCTTGATGAGCTCCAAAAAGCCAGTTTCTCATCATAGACTTCTCTGCAGAGGGGGTGCCAAGAGCAGAATGCCAGCAGAGAGGATACTAAATAGAAAGCAGTGGTTGTTAAGCCATCACAGCTGTTGGCTGTGTTAATAGGATAATAGTTATACTTTATTTTGCATTAATGCTGCACTTATTTGGAATGCTGTGTCCATCTCTGGGCACCGTACTTTAAAAAGCATGTAGACAGGTTGTGTTGAGTTCAGACTTCAGAAGAGGGCATCAGACAAGGCCAGTGGAACAGAAAATAAGTTCTATGGTCAACACTTCAAACAACTGTTCTTTTCAGATACTTGAAGGGCTGTCAAATATGTCCTACTCACTTATTTAGAATCAGTTTAAAATAGCTATGCAAAGGAGGGGACATTCTAGTTCTACTTGCTCCTACATGTGGAAGGTAATGAATCTGAAGTGCACGATTGCCACTGTCTCTGGGGGTTCTCCACCTGAGTCACAACTAGAGATGGGCACAAATCCCTGGATCGTTGGTTCATGCTGGTTCGTCCATTGGTCCAATAGGTGTTCTGTGGTTCCGAGCCCCATCTCCTCTGGCAGGCGTCCACTCAGAGACAGCACCATGGCTTCTTTGCCCCACCTCCTCTAGACACTGCCTCTGAGTGGATGCCTACGGGAGGAGGCAGGGCTCGGAACTGTAGAACACCCGTTGGACCGACAGATGGTTGGGTCATGCCCATCTTTAGACACAACCATCATTTTCCAGGACCTTATCTCTACCGAGACCCTATGTGGATAGCATAGTTCTCTTGTCTCCTGAACCTCCACCCTCTAGATGTTGGGGGGGGTGATGAAAATGGGGGAGAGGTAGGTTATGGGACTGGAATGTCTCCGTGTACATTTTGTTTATTTATTTAAAATAATTTTTACCCCACTTTTCTTCTTAAAAAAGACCCAAGGCAGCTTACATCATTAAAAGACAATATTTAAAGCTAACATCAGTGAGGACACAAATGACTAAAAAGGATCAAGCAATTACCACACTAAAAATAATGCTAAACAAACACAATATGAAAAACACATCCAAAGCAATAAGGTGCAACCATCCATTCAAGAACCGCACTCAGGCAGCCAGTCACTTGGGGAAAGCTTACCTGAAGAGAAAGGTCTCTGCCTGCTTGTCGAAGGACAGTAAAGAGGGCGCCAGCCTGGCCTCCTGTGGGAGGGAGTTCCAAAGTCTTGGGGAAGTGACGGAGAAGGCACTTCAACACATCTTGAAGACTAATGGGTATCCGCCTGGGATTTCACGTTCTTGGATCACCAAGCTCTGGCCAAAGGAGGAGATTGTAAGGAGAGCAACTAGCCTGGAAAGAGAACTCTGTAAACACAATATATCAAAACTACTATGAAATCTTCAAGGGTAACTTTGCGAACTGGCCCCAGCAGAGCTGTTTGGGAATTCTGCAGACTACTTTAGCTATCTGCTGTAAGCAGTGGTTTGTTTTCCTTCTGCCCAATTTGACAGGAGGTGGATCTGACATGTTCCAGAACAAAAGGAGCATAATGTGTTTAGTTTATAGACATACATTGCTGACAGATCTCTTCACAAGGAATAGTGCATCTTTATTTTTCATCTTTATTTCCCACACTACCCTTTCTCATATGCACTATTTGCAGCTGTAGATAGAGATTTTTCTTTGGAGAAAAAAAATAGATCACATTAGAACTGCTTTTATATATATATATATCCCACTACCCTTTCTCATATGAGAAAAAAAATAGATCACATTAAAACTGTTTTTTTATACACACACACACACACACACACACACACACACACACACACACACACACACACACACACAATGTGTATATCCTCCCATTGTCTATGATCTGAAGGTCTGTTTTCGGGGACAGTTTTGCCATGTTTTAATCCCACTAGTAACCCATGACTCCCCTCCCTCTAAGCTGATGGCCAAAGTATTGGAGCTTCAGCTTCAGGATCTGTCCAGTATCAGTTTTATTCTTGCCATCTCCTGTTTGACCACATCCAGCCTTCCCAGGTTCATAGATCTTACATTCTGGGTTCCTATGCAGTATTTTTCTTTGCAGCATTGGACTTTCCTTTCACTTCCAGGCATATCCACAGCTGAGCGTCCTTTCAGCTTTGGCCCAACCACTTCATTAGATCTGGACCTACTTGTATATATTTTATTTTATATATTTAATTTATTTATTGAATTTATACCCTGCCCATTTAGACCACGTCTACTCTTTGTCCTCCGCTCTTCCTCAGTTGCATGTTGGACGCCTTCTGACCTGAGGGGCTCATCTTCCAGCGTCATATCTTTTAGCCTTTTGTTTCTCTCCATGGAGTTTTCTTGGCAAAGATACTGGAGTGGCTTGCCAGTTTTTGCTCCAGGTGGATCGCGTTTAGTCAAAACTCTCCACTATGACCTGTCCGTCTTGGGTGTCCCTGCATGGCACAGCCCATAGCTTCTCTGAATTACTCACGCCCCTTCGCCACGACAAGGCAGCAATCCGTGAAGGAGGTGCTAAAGTAAGATACGGTTAATTTGTTTGGGTTTAAGTGTAGATACTTCCCTTCCCTTTCTTTCCCTTCCCTTCTTCTTGAATATTTTCGGATTCTTTTCATGTTACTCTCAGTTTAACTATTAATGTTAGTTTTGGGTTTTAATGTAGTGTAGAATGCCCTGAGGGCTGAGAAGTAGAATATATATGCTTTCAAATGTATACAAAACGTTTATACAGTTGAGATATACAGTTGAAAAGGCTACTGAACCTCGGCAGTAAAAGCTACTTATGAAGGGAGGGTGTGTTAGTTCTTAGTTCATCAGTGGCAAAACTCTGTGGAGAACCTGTGTGGCAATGAAACCAGAACTTGTGGGGTCAAAGCTCGGAGACAGAACAGCAGGGATGATGACATTATCTGATTTTATCCTCAGGCACGCCTCTTTCCTCTGAGTTTAGCTATACTCAGAGCCACAACTAGCAATGTTGACACCCAGAGCATCAGTGCCGTGTGTGTTTTGTGACATTGGCGTACAGTGGGGTCTCTACTTAAGAACTTAATCCGTATTGGAAGGTGGTTCTCAAGTTGAAAAGTTCTTATGTTGAATCTGCATTTCCCATAGGAATGCATTGAAAACTATTTAATCCGTATCTGCTCTTTTCCGTCCATAGAAACTACAGTGGAACCTCTACTTAAGAACTTAATCTGTTTTGGAATGGTATTCTTAAGTTGAAACGTTCTTAAGTTGAAGCAAAATTTCCCATAGGAATGGACTGAAAACCAATTAATCCGTTCTGGCTGTTTTTTTGTTATGTAGAGGTGCGTTCGTACATTGAAGCATTAGTTCCCATAGGAACTAATGCAAAGCTAGTTAATACGTACTCTACTACTAGGGGGAGAATTTTTTTTAACCTAAGATGACCTAAGGTTAAAAAAAGAGCAGGAAAGGTTTTTTTTTCCTGTTCTTATCTTGGATTTCTGTTCTCAAGTAGAAACAAAATTTAGCAAATGGAGCTGTTCTTAAGTTGGATTGTTCTTAAGTAGGGACGTTCTTGAGACCCCACTGTACAGGGGAGAGGATGGAGGAATGGGAAGGGATTACCTGGGTCTGAATGCGTGATGGCCATCATGGTTCTGTGCTGGATCTGAGGTCACAGCACAGTGTTCCTCCCCAAGGCCATATGCATGTTTTTCCTCTTCTCTATCCTCCCAATAGCCCAATGAGAAAGGGAAGGATGAAAAGGTACGATTGCCCAATGATCTTCATGGCCAAGTGGGAATTCATCCCAAGTCTTCTGACTCTAACTACTGTACTGCAGTGACTCATACCTCTCATGGATAACCCAATGACCTGTGCCTCTTGTTTCTTCACAACCGGGTTAATTTGAAGCCCACAAGTACTGTACTAACAGAGAAGGTTCCCGTTTCTTTCACAATTGAAAAACTCTTCAGGCTGTTCAACATCATATACGAAAAGCAATTTGCAGCTAACAGTAGTTTTTGGATGGAATATGAATAGCTGAAATTGTGACTCAATGGCAGGGGTAATTGCATGAAAAGAGAGTTAATCTTTTGTTTAACTCCTGTGACTTTATATACTTGGCACACTGAAGTATAACAGAGTGCCACTGTTTCAAAAATAGGATTGTTTTCCATTGGTGTGAGAAGGTTTTGCTAAAATGAATAGCAGTGTAAGTGGAGTTTGCAAAATATGTCTTTAAAACCCCATGGTTATCTCTTTTTTGTCCCCAAAAGCGTCATTTAGTGCAAAAAAAAATTCTGTATATTGGCTGAAATCCAGTAGTAAGTCATAACTAGAATAGGCCCATTGAATCAATAGAGCTTGCTGAGGAGTTGACTGACCATATCTGCACTAATCCAGTGGGTCTCTAATTCTAATTTACTACTGGATTTCAGCCATGTACTGTTTAAGAGTTCTGAATATAGCTTGGAGAAGTGATTTTTTGGACTAGAACTTCCAGAATCCCCACCTGCATGGCCAATAGTCATGGTGATGGGGTTTCTGGGAATTGTAGTCCACAGTTTCAGTCTTAGGCACTGGATTTTACCTTTTAAGCCCTTTTAAGTGTAGCCAGTAAGAGGCTAACAAATAAGGGGCTGTTACATTGCACAAACCCACGTTCCTCATCAGCAGGAAGTCTGAGTCACATTTCCACTTTTTATTACCTGAGGTAATAAATGACGATGTACCAAGTTGCTTTGAGGAGGTTGTGAGAAAATCCAGGACTATTGTATGCTGATGGTTAGTCCCTAACTGCAATTTTACCAATGGGCTGAATGTGAGCATGTGATTTAAGACCCACTGATAGGATTATCTATTTTTGGTCTAGGCAAATTATCCAACAGCCCCTTTCAGCCTTCTTAACATCCATGACTTTCTGATGGGCAAAATTGACATTTACAGCTTTATTTTAAAATATGTATGTTTAGACATATAGACTCTGAACAAATGCATTGTAAGAGCCTTATGGCACAGTGGTTAAACTGCTGTACTGCAGCCAAAACTGTGCTCACGACCCGGGGTTCACTCCCAGGTAGCCGGCTCAAGGTTGACTCAGCCTTCTATCCCTCCGAGGTCAGTAAAATGAGTACCCAGCTTGCTGGGGGCGTGCAAATGGTATCCTGCATAATTGTAAACTTCACAGAGTGCTTGAAGCACTATGGGGTGGTATATAAGCAGCACGCTTTGCTTTGCTTTAAGTGCTCGCCCATCCATCTTGTGATAAGAACTAGGGTGGAATGTTTAGTGAGTGCAAAAGTTCCTGGGGAATACTTTCCTTGAACTGTAATCAGACAGAATCATTGGTTTTCATTGGGATTTGCGAGGACCACATTAATTGTGCAGCTGACCAATTCAATTCTGCAGCCAAATTGACACTGTTCGGATGTGGCTCTCACAAAGCATAACTGGCTAAGAACAATCATCATGTTGGAAACTCTTCAGAACTTTCTGAGAAATCCTGTGCTCTTCCAAAGCACTGTTTGAAATCCCTCTGAGGGTTGTTAGTGAGATTTAAATGAAAAACAGAGGATTTAGAAGAGGGCAACAAGGGAGATGAAGGGACTGGAAACCAAGCCCTATGAGGAAAGACTTAAAGAACCGGGCATGTTTAGCCTTGAGAAAAGAAGACTGAGGCAAGATAGGATAGTGCTTTTCAAATACTTGAAAGACAGTCATACCAAGGAGGGCCAGGATCTGATCTCTATGATCTTAGAATGCAGGACACACAGTAATGGGCTCAAACTTCAGGAAGCCAGATTTAGGCTGAATATCAGGGGAAACTTCTTAACTGTTAGAGCAGTACAACAATGGAACCAATTACCTCAGGGGGTGATGAGTGCTCCAATGCTGGAGGCATTCAAGGGAAAATTGGACAACAACTTGTCATATCTGTTTTGATTTGTATTCCTGCATTGACCATGGGGTTGGACTTGATGGCCTTATAGGCTATTTCCAACTCAATTATCCTGTGATTCCCTTTACTGTCTCCGTATGTTTCAGTTCTATAGGAAACTGTAGTACTATGTTCTATGAAAATGGAAAGAACATCAGAGAATGCTATGTGGTATAAGTAGAAGTGCAGCAATTCACAATTTGCTATATATTTCCCTAAGAATTGGTTCATTTGTTGAGTAGAGGCCGTTCTGCTGGAACTAAAATTTCACTCTGTACAGAGCTGAGAAATAAGAAACCACTTACACCAAACCCCACGTGAGCCCACTATAAAAGAAGCAAGTCGTTCTGAAGTTGTTGGTAAAATTGATGCTAGATGTTTCTTTTCACATAAGCTACCCAGATCTGGAAATTCAAAAACAAGCCTCAGAGTGACTGACTGGCTTGGCTTCTCGCATTACAAGCTACTTTCTCTTCCCTCAGGTTTTTTGTCTGAATCGTTTGATAAGATACCAGTAGAGATTGTCCACATTTGTTTGGAACAGTATTGGTTTTTTTCTCCCTTAAATATCATTTGTAGAGATGCTTGCCAGCTGATAAGTCCCAAAAGTAAAATCCAAAATAGACAGAAAAGGTTTTCCATAAAAGAAGGGTCTTCTTAATTTCTCTTAGAATGTCACATCGATCTAAATGGCAGCCAGATGTGCCTAAAGTGAGATTCAAGTGTGATGCATATATCCATGAAGACACAAAACATATATGTACAGGCATTTAAGAAGTAGACAATGAAGTTATAGAAGGGTGCGGTTACACTGTTGATTTGTATTGATTTCGGCTCCGATGTATTTTAAATCAGTTTTCAGTCATGTGGTTTTGGTATCACTGTGCACGTTCATTTTGAAAATTATTATTCTGATATAAAGTAGGAGCTTAAAACGCTTAATGAAACCACATGTGAGATTTTAAATCATTTAATTACCAGCATGTTTGCAGACTGTGTAATTTCCATTGCTGCTGGTCCTGGTGCATCGCCAATGATTGCAATCTTCTCTTTTCAATGTTGTGTGGGATTTTTTTCAATTTTCAGGTGTCCTTTGGAATGCATGCATTTCTCTCTCCTTTTTTTTAAAAAAATAGATTTTTAAATGACATAGCTGAATGGATTGTTGTGCCCTGCTGTTTTTAAATGTGTTTCTTATTGACCATTTAAAACATAATACTTTAATTCTTTTTTTTAATAGTTGTATACTCACTGTTTTTAGCTTTTAAATATCATCTTTTAATTGTTGTAAGCCACCTTGGGTCCTTTTAAGGAGAAAGACAGGGTAAAAATATTTTAAATAAATAAATAAGAATATATAGCGACATAGTGACATTACCTTGGAAACCTGCAACCACCCACAAAAGCAGTATTTAATACAACATTGCCCAAAGTGATTTATAAAGAATCAATGGCACAAGCGTGTTAAATTAAAAAGCCCCTGTCAGCCTCTTAAACAAAACAAAACAAAACAAAAAAGTGTTTTGAGGTCAAAAACAAGTGGGCTTTGCCGTGTATCATGTAGTCAGGATTTTAAAAATCAATTTTAATTACACCAAATCTGATTCAAAAGTAATTCTTGTCAGTATAACCATGCCCTAAGACCAGCAAAATGCCATGAAGGACTTAGCCTGTTTTAGGGTTCACAAGACAGAGACAGGACCTTCCTTGAATTCTGACAGACTAACCGGAGTGTTTTTCTCCTGTCAACAGGGACAGAGGTTAAAGGGTTTACAACACTGAGGTTCCTAATTGAGCCTTCGGATGCGGTTACCATGCGAGGAAGCAACGTGTTGCTCAACTGCACTGCAGAGTCAGATCAAGGATTTCCGGTCATCAAATGGAAAAAGGATGGCGTCTTTTTAAACTTGGCAGTGGATGAGCGAAGGCAGCAATTTTCCAATGGATCTCTTTTAATACAGAATATAGTCCATTCCAGACACCATAAACCTGATGAGGGTCTTTATCAGTGTGAAGCATCATTAGAAGGAATTGGAGCCATAATCAGTCGGACAGCCAAAGTCTCAGTAGCAGGTAAGCACCAACTCTTATTTTGTGCAGTGAGCATCAGTTTTCCTGCTAACTTGATGTGGCGTACTTAAACTGGAATATAACAAAAACGGGTTGCTTTTCTTCCTCTAAAACTTAAAAAAAATGCTTTTCCTAATTGATGGTTCTTGATCTGGAGATCTGACTGTTGCAAAGAAATGACCCTGGTTATGTAAATGTAACTAAGTATAGAGAAAAGTTAGAATGGTTGGACAAGCCATGAACAAGGACACCTCTGTGGAGCAATAGGCCAGCAGATAGACTCCATCCCAATAAGAACCTAAAGATTGGGTTCGCTCTCTGGTCTCCAGATTTGGGGGCTGTTGGGTTGATCCAGTTAGAGGTCCCAATTAGAATGGACTAGTCATGGGAGGTTACTCCACTTGTGGAGGTGTCGTGAATCCACTCCATGCTGAAGCCTATCCCCCTCAGCACATTTGATAACCGCAGCACATTTGATAATTCCTGTAATTATCTTCTGGAGTGGATTCACACTACCACCACAACTGAAACCATTAGGCGCCACTGGAGTAGATCCATTAGATCAATTGGTCAACGACTGGTCAACTTTACCACTATGGAATACCAGTGATCTCCAGGCAGTATCAGGAAAGATAATTCACTGAAACCATGTAGAATTGGCTATTGGTCAGATCTGACAATACTGTGTTCAAAGGCTCAATAATCTGACTCAGTATGAGGCAACTTTCTGTGTTCCACTCAGTTTTTGGAGGTACACTGTGTGTGTTTTTATGTGTCCTACTAATCTGGATTCTTACTGAATGTTCCGGTCAGGTTCTGTCTGCTTGGAGGAATCTCCCAATCTGTTAGCAACTTGATCCGCTTTTGTGTCCACTGAGGAAACATTCAGCCATGATTACCTCAGTCCTGCTAAAGAGAAATCTTAACTTTTTCTAATATCAGACCTTGGAGATTAGCCCTACAACATTATGTCTTCAACAAACATCTCTAAATTTTAAATAAGTGCAAGGACACAAGGAAAAACTTTTTCTTTTCTTAAAAATATGTTATTTCTCCTCTACAAAAATGAAATTAGACATGACATTACTGCCACAGTAATTTATTTCTGACAAGCTACTATTCATGCTTAAATATGTCTAATCAGTCTTTTGTTGCTGTCTGATATTTGAAGCATGTTTATTATCTTCAAAAACAAGAGACAGTCTCTGAAGCTAGAAATTAAGTGCTTTCCAGATTAATTCAGGGTCAGAGCAAAATAAAATATCAAACTTTTGCAGAATGTGAAATGTGCTTTTATTACTGTAATATTTCCCTGTTTCACTTAGCTGTTCTTGAACTGACAGAAATGCATTAGGGAACTTTGTAGATTCAGAAGCAGTTAGTGTCTCCAACGCATTTTTGTGAGTGCAAAGTGTTGCTCAAACCAGAAGACAATTTTGAAAGTTTAACAAATATTTGAAGTCACATTCATCACTCTTATAAATGTTAGCAGCTTCAACACTTCATTATATTGGATGTCGAAAGAGCCCTGCGATTCATATGTTGTGCTTTGCTGTCTTGTGCTTTGGGGAATAGGGATCTTTTTCATTTGTCATGCTGATATATGAGATGAACCAATCAAATAAAACTTGGGGGTGAATTTCTACATTATGGGCAACTCAAAGGTTAGCACAGATTTGGAGAAAGTTAGTTAGCTCTAAAGCACTTGTTGGTTAGCTTTGTTTTCAAACCGGGAGTGAAGGCCTTGAGCAAAGATTTGTAATGAAAACCTCATCCACTTCCAGTTTGGCATTCCAGGGTCATACTGAAATGTATTAGAATAGTCTTCATAAAAGGATGAGCCGTCAGATCATCAACAAATGTGGCAAAGACAGTATAGTCTTGCTCTGTGCAAAATTTGGGGAAGCTTGGACAAACGGTTTTCAAGTAATGCTTTTTTTAAAATGTAAAACTGTTCCCCCAGTTCAGAAATGGGCAATCCCAAATGATTCCAGATTTAAAACAGATCACATAAATTGATCACCTTTGCCTCCCAGGAGAAATGCTCCCTGTAGGGCCTTGGGCAAGCTGCACTTTCTGGATGTGCCATGAGATTGTGCAGCTTACCCAAGGCCCCACAGGGGGCTCTTCTTCTGGAAGGCACAATGGGGACATCAAGCTTTGGAAAGAATCCAGGCTGCAAGGCCCAAAATATTGATCCTCAGAAAAGCCCTTTCAAAATATTAAAACAGCCACTTTATTATACAACTGAGCATGTGTGGTATGGGCTTGCTAGCAGGAGCTACACGAAATGGAACATTGTATACATTGGTAGGTGGAAGGTGGACCTATTTAGAGAGAAAGATCACAGAAAGAGACTGAAAAGGCATATTTTCTTGAAAGATTTAAAGCCAATAGGATTGCTTTAAAGAAAGGAATGGAATGGCAGTCCTCCAGAAAGGGAAAACATTTTGCCATGTATCTTCTGGGAATTACCATACAGTTTTATAAGTCTGAGCCCTTCTAGCCCTATTAGATTCAGTGTGGTGTCCCTCTTTCATCCTTTGTTCAAGAAAGCCACGAGACAAAGAGTAACCCTTTCACCAGAAGGGACAGAGTATCTTCTGAGAGCCCAGTTCCCACCACTGGGTGCTCATACAGTCCAACCAGCTTATCTCCAGTGTTTGGGTGCCTCAAGCTCTGTCATGATCCCTGTTTTATTGCATTGTGAATTACCCAGAATGACCGCTAGTCAGATGGGCAGTATAAAAATTGATTGAATGAATGAATGAATGAAGAGTGAAGTCTGGTGTACATGGTGAGGGCAAGTATGTTAGGATCTTCCCTTCACGATTAATGTGTGTTTTAGTCTCCCAGTCGCTTCCACTCTCATTCCTCTTGACACTTGTGGTTTTGTTGATGTTTCCTTCACCAGTGTCAGCTCTGGGCTGGTAGTTGGGTCTCCCTCTTTAACCCTTCTCTTTCATTCCCCCCCCCAAGTAAGCAGGGCTCTTGTTTCTATCCTTGGAAGGATAGAAGGGCTGAGTCAACGTAGAACCAATTACCTGAGACCGTGGGAATCAAACTTCAGGTTCTGAGCGGAGTCTTGACTCCAGTACTGCAGTCTAAAAGACTACCTTGCCTAGGTCAGCTGGTCAATGTATGTGGCAGGACAAAAGTTCCTTGTTCTTATTCACGCCTTAGAAGATGGAGTTGAATCTTTTGGTGTGTTTTTGTATACCTATTTCTTTCTTCTTCTTTTTTTTGAAGGACTTTAGTTCAAGGATGATTGATCACCTTTAGATGAAAGATTATCAAACAGCCAAAGTGTCCTATTTCAAGTCTCCTGGAAGACTGAAGTTCTCCCCATGATGTTCGAATGTTATTATTTATTTCAAACATCAGCCTTCTCTATTTATTTATTTATTTATTTATTTATTTGATTTGTATATCAGCCATCTGGCTACCAAGGCTACAAAAACGGGCACAAAAGTGGAAAAAATTGCTACCACCACTGCCTCCCCAACCCAAGCCCCTTTGTAAAATGGCTGTGACAACACCACTGCCCGCCTAGAAACCTCTGATTTTACATTTTTCCCTCCTTCCTTCCACCACTTCCCTCTTGAGCACCTGTAGAATTGACACAGTTACTTCCTCCCTGTTTGTCAATCACGTATCCATTACCTTCCCCCTCTATAGCCCTTAATTGCATAACTGCAAGAGTGTGCAACTATGGGGCAGGTAGTTAGAACAAATAAGCCATTCATCCTATAAATAGCGGTGTTATCTGCAGGATTTGTGTTGTGCACGATGTGTTGTGCATTGAAACCCTCCTTCTGGATGGTAGCCCCTGGCTAGTTAATGAGGTTTCATGAGGGTGAAAGGGTGTTGCAAAGGGTGTTGGTAATAGCTGTGTGTATCTTTTGAAATCCGGGAGAAAATTCCTGCAATCAGGTGAACATATGGAAATACTTGCCTATGTGAGGGAAGTAAGTACTGCTAACTGAACTGGCAATGCATTTGAGCTGACCCTAGTTAAATGCTGGCAGTATATCCCTGTCTTAAGGCACTCAGCAGATGGAAGAGAAGAAGGAAGAGAAAGAAGAGTAAGGATTTTTAAAATGAAGAATTGGCCTGATAATCATATAGCTTTTTTTGGTACCTATAAGTCGCAATGAGAATTTGTAGAAGGTTATTGCGTTTGGAGGAGGGTTGTTGCTTAAGGCTGCATCCCTGAAATTCTAAGAGGACATTTATTTATTTATTTGATAAGATAAGGAGTTTTAATTTTCATGGTGTAGAAAAAATATAGAAAAGGGACGTAAATCAGTACTTATCTCCTTCCTCTGTGCAGGAATAAAGAAGCAACCTGTTTTTGTTTTTTTTTACTTTTACATTGTTAGAAAGCAAGCTGTAGTGTATAGGTTTCCTCAAGAGTTTTCACTTTGTAAGGATGAATTATGTGCAGCTGATGCAGCAACACAAACAAAGCAAAACTAACAGGGCGGCTAGTTATGTTCTGGACTTAATTTAGAAGCTTTGGATAGCTTGGTTGCATCTTTCTGAACAGTCTCAGCCAACCCTTCCCCTGCTTGCTCTCTTTTACTGTGCACCTGGCTTCTCAAAAGGAAAGGTGGACTAGTTTGAGACAGGTCCACTTTGCACAAATTGCAGATATTCTGACAAGACAAAGGAAAATGTTCCATATCTTGCTGTCGTGTTGCAGGTCTCACAAAGCTTGACAATTCCTCATTGTGTATCCTTTTGTTCTGAGACAACCTAAACCAACAAGCAATTTTGCAAGTATTCTTTACATCCCGATTAAAGAGAATTTCTTCTTCCCATATTACTAAAAATCATTTTCTTCCTGTGATGCTGAGTTGGCGTAGGATGCAGTTCATGTAAACTAAAATATGACATTGACACGAAGACTTGTTTATCTTTATTCAGGAAGAGCTGCCCCCACCCTTGGCTAGATGGCTTTTAAAAAAAGAGCTTGAAAACATTACTCTGGGGAATTATAG